TGAACCGGAACTGAAGTCGTTCTCACCGTTTGAGCAAATAATAATCAACAAGATGGATGTAGTGATGGAAATGTCGAGAAGACATGAGTCCTTATTTTCTGGTATTCTTGACAGATTTGATGATTTGGATCGTGAAGTGAGGCTGATCAAGACCCAACTTGGGATATCGGAGGATGAACTGAAGCTGCTGCCAATCATCAAAGAGGAGCAACCAAGGAAGTCAAAAACAAATATCCTTCAACAGATTCTACCGTGGAAAAGGAGTTGAGTGTGGACAAGTTAGAGATCTCAAGAAGATTGACACTACCGCGCGAAGAAGGGAACCAGAGCAAGATTTTAGAAAGACTTGATTCTGATGCACAGAAGTTGACCAACCTTCAAATCACCACACAAGATTTGATGAAGAAGATAGAAATTAATGAGAAGAACGCAAAGGGAAAAGGTGGTGAGTGTGATGAGGTGAAAAGGCAGCTTCAAGCAGCTCAGGATACCATCACAAAGTTGCTTGATGTCTGCTTGGCCTCATAGACTATCAAGCAGCCATTCATCTTTGGAAGATTGACAAATTTGATTTTGTCGTGTGCATGAGTGCATACATTGGTGTGGTCTGTGGCAGCGTTGAAATTGGCTTAGTCATAGCTGTATGTGTCAATAAACTCCCTCCACTCAGCTGAATTTTGTGTTACTCATTTCTTGGATCAAGGTAAAGGTTTGTGATATTAATATGTGCTTTTCTCTGTGTATATATATTCAGGTTGCAATATCAGTACTTCGGATACTTCTATTTGTTGCAAGGCCAAGGACATTTGTTTTGGGACACATTCCAAATTCTGTGATATACAGAAATGTTGAGCAATATCCAAATGCAAAACACGTTCCTGGAATCCTAATTCTAGAGATTGATGCACCAATTTACTTTGCCAATGCAAGCTATTTAAGAGAAAGGTAATACCTACAAATTTGGAGTATTTCTCTTGCATGCAAAAAAAAGGCCTACAATAAGTAAACACTTATCAGAAAACCTTATTATTGTGCATAGGATCACAAGGTGGATTGATGAAGAGGAAGACAGAATCAAAGCTACAGGGGAGACAAGTTTGCAGTATGTTATTATGGATATGAGTGGTAAGTAATGGAGCCTAAAAAATGGTAACTAAAATTTGGTTATTAGAATTTTCAATCTAATTTGCAGTGTAATTTTATTGGCAGCTGTTGGGAACATAGATACAAGCGGAATAAGTATGCTTGAAGAGGTCAAGAAGATTACTGACAGAAGAGAGCTACAAGTAATTCTTTCTCTCTTGCTATCTGCTAATTATGAACCAATATTTTCTCAGAAGATTCAATTTTAGCATGCTTGATACGATATATATTTCTTTTTTCTCCTAATCTTTCATTACTGTACATGCAGTTTATTTTGGTCAATCCTGGAAGTGAGGTGATGAAGAAATTGAACAAATCGAAGTTCCAAAATCATTTAGGTCAGAAATGGATCTATCTAACTGTTGAAGAGGCCGTTGGAGCATGCCACTTCATGCTCAGTGAATCCAAAATGAACCCCAAGAAAGATGGATCAGAGGGTTGGAACAATGTGTGACCGAGTCATATGCCAAAGAACATTCTTAATAGCTCACAAAGCTTATTCGTTTTCGTCTCAGTTATGTTACCACTACAATATGTGGCATGAGAATTTGTGAATCTTGCCGCAGAAGTTTTAGAAGCATTAGAAAATGAAAGATGCACGGGTCTTATAATTTTTCGGCTTTGCATCCTTAGAAGAAAATATCCTACGTAGGTTGTTGAATCACCCCCCCCTCTTGGATTGTGCCATTCTTTTCTAACAGCTTGGAATCTTTTTTTTAAGGGGTTTGGGTCGAATTCATGAGTTTGTAAGTGCAGAACTCACTATTGCATTGGGCTTGCCTTCATGGCCCCAAATGTGGCTCAAATCTAGGGCCTTTGTCTTGCTCACACAATGCAAGATTGGTAGCGTTAGGCATGAAGAGAGAGAATAGTCTTTAACTTGGTCACATCGGGCTGAGTTTGAATGGTGCCAAGTGTGAAGTGAAAAAATTGGCTCTGCTTGGCTTGACACCTAGTGTGAGGAGAGAGAATTGTCTCAAGTTAATTTGGGGTCGAGCATGAAATCTTGCCAAGGTGATTTCCACCTAATCCACACCAGGCACGAGTTGTATGGCACCAAACGTGGATGAGGTAGAAAAATTCCTACCTTAATGGCGTCGGGCGTGAGTTGCTTGATGAGATCTTGTTGTTGGATGATTTAAATGGTAAACAAAAATAGGTTAGGTAAATCTATTACATGTTGTATGTTGATTGGTGATAATTATTTTATATATGTATGTTGATCATGGATAACATATATAGATATTTGTATGGTTGGATTGTTGAGATGCATTGGTATATGTCATAAATTGATTTTTGTTGATACTTCTATATACATTGACTTGGGGTAATACATATAGATGTATGTTGTTGATGTGTGATGTTGAGAGTGTTATTGACATTTAGGCATGATTTGTTGACTTGTTGAGGTGTTGATATTGAAAGTGTTATATGCATTTAGGTATGTTGATTGACTTAAGACTAGAGGAGTGTATTTTTTTAAGGTTGGATATCTCATTGTGAGAATATTGGTGTGGCACTATGGGAGGTCGATTGTTGAAAAACCCTCATTGGGTAGATGTTAAACTCTTGGAGTGGATTAGTGAGTTTCCTCTAGATCCTTAATCAATGTTGGAATAAGATATGAAGTCAAGGATTACGACCCTTTAACTAATTACTGGAGAGTAACATTGTCAAAACGGACCACAACCTATGAGCCGATTTGGACCACATGGGTTCAAGACAAGTTAGGTTAAAAAAATTGCGGTGCTGGTAAAAATTGAACCAACCCACTAAGAACTTGGCTCATCCAGGTTCAACCTGTGGTGAATCGGGTTGCCTCATGAATCCAATAAAAAAAGGCCCCAACTAACCCACTCACATTTTACTAAAAAAAACATTAAAAACCCCCACACCACAACCCACTTAAGTGATTCGTAGCTTAGGGTTTTCTTTTTGTTCACTCCTCAATCCTCACTACTCTTCACTCTTCTCATTAACCGCGTATTGCCACTGCCACTACGCCACACTAGGGATGGCAACGGGGCGGGG